TGCATAATGGGACTCATACTTTTCTGATCAGTGAGTCCTTGGGACTCGCTGCCGGTAAACTGTAAAATTATCACTGAGAGATTACCGCGTTTTCTGCAGTCAGTGATTGACTTCTTTGCAAAGTCATTTCTCAACTTGTCTTTCATGCCATGCCATGCCTGTTGAGTGTTGATTTACTTCATATTAAGAAACTACTGCACTAAAACATGAATTCATAAATGTATATCATATGCTTTTATTTTTTTTCTCAGTATAAATAATACGTACCCTGACTGTTCTACTCTTTGAATAAAAACACTTCATTCAAGCGTTAGGGAGTGACATGTGCAAGGGGTTATGATGGAGGGGTGTTGCAAATCATGAAGACCTGCCAAGTGGTATGATAGCATTGTTTTATACATGTCCTCGGCTAGGCCTCGGCTTCAAAATCAGTCCTTGGTCCTTGGCCTTGGCCTCGGAGGCAAGTCCTTGGCCTTGGCCTTGGCCTCGGACTCAAGTCCTTGGCCTTGGCCTCGGGTTGCCGGTCCTTGGACACAACACTGACATGCACACACTCACCGAACTCATTGCTTCACTTCTATTCATCGTTCATTTCATCAGTTCAATCGAGTGCCAATAAATATTTTTGCTATGAAAAGCACTTTTGTGGTGACCTGGTTTGCTCCAGTGAAAATGGGTGTGATTCAGTGAGTTAATATTTGTCAACTATGGCCTTGTGAAGCCCTTTAAGACTCATTTGTGATTAAGAGCTGACTTGCCTTTAACTGGAAACAGAACACAAAAATGTACTCTATACAATCAATAAAATCAATTCAAAGTTTCAATTCAGACTTCCTACCAAAGGCATCATCTTCAGAAGATTTAGGTTCTCCTCCAGGATCAAGCTCTGCCTCCCTCAAGTCATCACTTGGGCTGCCCTCTCTGCCAGGAGTCTCTCCTCTCTCTTCCTCGTTGCAGCTCAACTCAAAACCAAATTCTGCAACCTCCTCCTGACAAGACACACATACAAAAATGCAGTTAGGAAAGCAACTTCAGAGTAATCTTTATTCCCCAAAGTCAGTCACAGGCAGGAACGTGTTGTGGGGTGAGTTGGAGGTTTTGGAGGGTTCAGGAGCAGTTTTTTAAATATATTCCCATGGCACAGTCTTTTTTAGCACCGATGCCAAAAGTGCCATTTAGACCATTTTTTTTGTTTAAAAAAAATACAAATAAAATTGGTGCATTTGAAAGTCCCTCCCAGTCCAAAAACTCACAAACTTTGTGTTTTAAAATAATGAAGGCCTGAACACTCTTTCCAGCAAATATGAGGTACATATGATTAATCCACTAGGACAGGGGTGGCCAAACAGCAGTGTTGTGTCCAAGGACCGGCAACCCGAGGCCAAGGCCAAGGCCAAGGACTTGGAAAATTTTCCGAGGCAAGGCCAAGGCCAAGGACTTCAGAAATTTTCCGAGGCCAAGGCCAAGGACCAAGGACT